GTAGGCATTCTCTGTCACACTGCCCATCAGATACGATGACATCTCTCTCAGCACGCATAACAAATAACTGTAGCATAACTGACAGGACCATTTGGAAGCTGGACTTCTTGCCATAGGTATTTTCAAACATTTCTTGCCTCTTCTCATACTGAAAATTCTTTTGCTTTATCTCTAAGCTCCTTCCTTGGTTCAGAGCTGAGCAAATGTAACCCAACTTATTACTTGAATGGAAGTTTACAAGGATTTTATTATTTCACATATGGAGTGCCATGAAGCCCCACCTGTGGGAGACAAAACCCATTAATGCTGTGGCAAGAAATCCACTGTGTGAAACAAATCGCAGACTCTGGAAGGATATGGATGTTTTAATGACAAGCTAACATCTCATCTCTGCTGTGGCTGCCACTTCAGAAACCAGCATTCTCTGTCAAATCTGCTTTGGTACACACCAGCTTCAGGCCACATTTTCCATGTCACACTATCCACTAGTCATTCACAGGACACAATGATCTCTACAAGCATATTCTGCTAAGCCTGGCAGCATGGCTGATTACAACACTGGCATGCTGCAAATCCCTCAGGGAATGCTCCTCCCAGTCTATCAGAATCACAAATTTTATTCCACTTTTCTAGACTTAGCAGAAGAGGAATAGGTTCAACTCCATTCCACACAAGCTCTTAAAAAAACACTGAGAAAGTCCATCCTGTCCTCTGCTCTTTCTAGGGGTGGCTGATTCCTTTACATACGAATGTGTTCAAGACTGAACTGTCTGTGTAAAATTTGAGTGAAATAATGGCTCCAACAGGAACTGGGGGAGAAGCCTACTCTGGATGGGAACAGGCACTGTGGGGCCCAGGGAACGTAGATGCTTCTCCAAAGAGTCCAAAGGCCAAGCTGAGACCTCTTACAAACCAGGGTTGAGGCCTGAAAGAATGTCCGCTGGCTGGTATGAATTGGAATCCCTCCTGCTGTGTGCAGGACCAGGAGGTATACCTTCATGCTCACTGGTAGTCACAGGCCTCACTGCCAGCAGAAAGAACCATGCTGCATGAGGAGCTGGTGGGCAGGCCTGAAATATGTTTGACTTGTGCTTTGCAGCTGGTTGTTCTTGGGGGCACCTCCACCAAAGGCAATCATGCCAGACTGGGAAGGAAATGTTAATGTTGCATGCAGGTAATTGATTTCTTTCAAGTACACCCATTCAGCTGCACAGACTTCTTGCTCTCTGGTTGCTCCGTGGGTCCTGCTATAGCCAGACCTTGAGGAAGTCAGTCATCAGCTGGAGGGATTAGCTGGAGCAGCCAGCTAGGGGGGAATGTCAGCACCCGTATCCATGGATTTCTCACATTCTGCCTCTTCCAGCTGTGCTGTGGTTTCTTTCTAGTACCACTGAACTCCAGGCTCTACAGCAATGAAAACAGGTATGGCAGAACATCCATGGTTGTCAGGATCCCTCTTCCCTCCTCCCATCAGGACATGGCTGCCTTCTCCTGCAGACCCCTCCCTTGTCAAGGACAGGTGCTGACTTGGCTGCCCCACACTTAGACAGAGGATGTGGGTCAGAGTTTTCTGGGCCCTAACTCACTGAGAATTGTGAAGCTCTACCTGTGTAGATCCTGGACCAACAACCTCCCTTGACAGACTCCCAGTGTCTGGGAAGCCTTTAGGTGCATGCGTTTAAAAATTAACTGCTCCTTGAAGGAAAAAGGAAATGAACTCAAACCAATGTTATGTTTCCCTGTAGCCTTCCGGGATTGCCTGTGAGTCCTTTCACTTTCCCTCCAGGAACCTTCTGCCGCATGGAAGAGGGCAGTTCAAGGATATGCTGCCATCAAGTTTTTGTTGGTATTTAGTTCCCAAAGGAGGGGTTGTGAATAGTCATCTTGTTGTATAGATAACATGACTGGTATCAGAGCTTCTCTGGAGTTTTTGCATACTTCGTATTACAGTGAAATTTTTGAGCCTGAGCCTTGAATTCTGTAATGCTTAACACTTTCAGACTGTCATCACCACTAGGTCTGAGCTACCTAGCTACTGTATCTGCACTACAAGTCAAGTGACAGAGAGATGTGGAGACACACCTGGTGGCACTTGCAGAAGTCACTCAGTGCTGGGGGTAGCACCATTTGAAGGAGAGTCTTTGTGGTATTTAGTTGAGATGACTAAGCAGAAGTATTTTCAGTGTGAAGGCTGAGCCACCATTTTCAAGAGCATTGAAAATTTTGCTCGGAGTATTTTTCTTTCTAAATCTAAATGGGACTTGTCTCCTTACCTTTCTCCTCAACTTTGTGTTCATTTGGGCTCATACTATTTATACAAGAATTGTCCTTGAACTATTCTCATGTTGTAACTTCTGAATGTGAGTAGTGGTCAGAGATTGCCCAGAGAGGATGGGCTTAATATGTACCCCTGTGGCACTGACTGCCTCTAGGCTTCTCCTGGCAGGATGTAGTGGGTTTCTATCATCCTCCTTACTCCCTCTGCAGGGGGCCCAGGATGGAGCTCTGGGTTTGGTCTCCTGTCTTGGGCCCCAGAGACCCAAAACGTGGATGCCATAGTGCCAGAGTCCTCTTCATGCACAGGTCTATACCTGGATATTAGATCAAATTAATCTTTTCTTGGAGCTTTTAATAACCAAAATGTCAGTTACCAGCAGAAGAGCATGTTTAGATCTGACAGCATTTAAAGCAGATCAAGTGACAGTGCCCTTTTCCTATACCTAGCTTAGTCACTCTCCAGGACTACCAGCAAATTCCTTCTTTCTCAGAACATTAGTATTGTACAGGACTTCCTATCACCTCTCACACTCTGCTATAAGCATCATCGTGTTGATAGCTTTTGTTTTGCTGAAAGTGTATGAATGTGTAAGCGTGCAAGATATTTGGGATGGTATGGGAATGCTGGAGTAGGAGTGTGTAAGAGTGCATTCAGCTGTGAATTGTATGTGAATGATTGTGTATACAGTTGTGGTTGTGTGGAGTGGCTCCTGTTTTTGAAGTTGTAGGTAGTGAAGGTCTACAGGACCTACCTTGCTTTCTGGCATTGTTGAGGTTATTGCTTATACAAACTATCATGAGACACACTTAATCTGCTTAAGCTGGGGTAACAGGGCTTGTTCTAGTGAGGGGAAATGGAAAGTATCACTATATATATATTTATGATTTATATACATAGTTGTTGTTGAAGGTTTTTATTGGTCTAGGTTACTTTTGCCTCTAAGATGTCTTGGAGTATTTTCAGTAAAAGTGGAGAAACATAAATAACTGACTGTTAATGACTTCTCTGTGAGGGAGTACAAGTGCTAGTTGTTAAATGTTATGCATTTCTTCCAAATCAGCACTTAAAAAATCACTGAATATTTTAAAACTAGAACTGTTTTGAAAAATACTATATCGTTTATTTCCTTTGAGTATGAGGTACTGCAAGTAATTTTTTGTTTTAGACTAAATGAGCCTTTCCTTTAGTATCAGTTATGTCTGCCTATGAAAACAGCAAAAATTTCCCTAGCTTGCATTTTTTGATTATCTAGTTTTTACTGAGGAGTCAATTTTCACACTCTAAATGCAGATGACATGCCCCAAATCGAATTCTTATTCTGATATGCTGTATCATTGATTTCCTTCTTCTAGCACCGTTAAAGTCGGTGTCCTGGCCCAAGATGTGTGTTTGTTTTTCTTATTTTCCATATAAAATAGAGTGAATTAGTAAAGAACATTCATAATTTTTCTTTCGTAAAATTGTCTTTTCTCATACTTTAAAGATATTCCTTAAATTCACAGGACTGTATATGAAAGAAATTTTGCATTATTCCCTTTTTACTAATATAATTGCAGTAGAGAAATGTCAAAGAATCTGACCTCACTCAAAGACCAAGCTGTGACCAGAATGGTGAAACAACCTATAAATTCTACATCCAAGTTCTTTAAGTGTTTTGAATCATCAAGATTCCCTTATTAACAGCTCTGTTAATAACAGACTATTTATAGTAAATATATCCACAAGAGTAGTAAGGTATAAAACATTTCTAAATATATCTTGTGAAATCAAATGAAAATTATGTCATTAGTTATGTTTGCCAGACAGTTTTGCCAAAGAAAGTTTGCCAAAATATATTTTGACTGAAGGAAAGGGAAACATCCAAAGCATCTGCATACCAGACTCTATAAAAGTCTCTATGGAGTGCTGTGCCCAGTCTTGACAGAAAGTTTCAAGGTAAGCACATGGCTCCTGTGAATTTCTGGGCAAAACCTTTTATTCCATTGTACTTCCTACAAGCCTTGGATACCTACTTCTATGAGGAACCAAATCTATTACCAGTATAGGTTTGAAGGCTTTTTTTTTTTTTTTTTTTTTTTTTTGTGCTATCCACTCATACATTAACTCTGGATATATTTTATCTGTGCAACAGATAAAATGAGTTGCAATATTTTCAAACAGCAGTGACTGACTTCCAGCTTCTGCCATCAGAATTGACAACAAAATGTATCAACTTTTAAAGACCAGGAACAAATGCTGCAGCTTAAGTTTTTGAGAAAGCAGAGTAGACAATCATGATATTAATGTATGTAAAAGTGCAAGATGAATTTTCCATAGCAAGTGAATTCTATTAGACAAGAAAGTCTCTCAGAGACTTTCAGATAGTGTTTAAGCCAACATCATAGACTTATTTCATCTGAAGTCTCCGCAATGGCATCATCAAAATTCATTATAATCTACCAAGATAATACGACACTGAAAGATTGTATTGCAATACTTCAGCACTCAAAAACAATTTCTTCCTTTCATAGCCAGATGTATTAGGAATTGATCTTAATTTCAGGAAAGAATACAGGTATTTCCAACCAAGACAGGCTGAAATAAAACTTTTGAGTTGTTTATACCTGCTTGTATATTTTAGATTTTATATGCTTGTATACTGTAGATTTTCTCTCTTTCACATAACAGTATACTCACTGACTCAGCATATTTTCCGTCCTACAGAGCACTCTTCTGACTGTGCTTCCTGTTTAAGCGCAGCCATGGCTTCTCCAGATGCTGAGATGGCCGCCTTTGGGGAGGCCGCTCCCTATCTCCGAAAGTCAGAGAAGGAAAGAATTGAGGCCCAGAACAAGCCTTTTGATGCCAAGACATCTGTTTTTGTGGTGCATCCCAAAGAATCCTTTGTGAAAGGGACAATCCAAAGCAAAGAATCTGGGAAGGTCACTGTCAAGACTGAAGGTGGAGAGGTGAGAAAAAAACAAGGGTTAAGAACTGAAAGTAATAACTACTCCCAACTGTTAGCTAACATTAACAAATCTGTTTTCCTGTGTTAGACTCTGACTGTGAAAGAAGATCAGGTCTTCTCCATGAACCCTCCCAAGTACGATAAAATTGAGGACATGGCCATGATGACCCACCTCCATGAACCCGCTGTGCTGTACAACCTCAAAGAGCGTTATGCAGCCTGGATGATCTACGTAAGTACCAGCAGCTCTCTTCCTTGGGTAGCGTAGCTGGGGAGGACTGCTGTGCCAGGCTGAGTGGAAGCCAGCGTGCCGTGTCCCTTCCTCACAGACCTACTCGGGCCTCTTCTGTGTCACTGTCAACCCCTACAAGTGGCTGCCGGTGTACAACCCGGAGGTGGTGTTGGCCTACCGAGGCAAAAAGCGCCAGGAGGCCCCTCCACACATCTTCTCCATCTCTGACAACGCCTATCAGTTCATGCTGACTGGTGAGCAAATTGCATTGTCTTTATAGAAAGTTAATATTTGCTTTAAAAAAAAAATATCAGTCTGCATAGAGATGTAAACCTCGGCATGAACTTTTAATGAACTGTTATTTTAATATTTGCTAATATTGTGCATGAAACACAGTTCTGTCGTAACTATTTATAGAAGTCTTATTAACAGCATGCAAAAATGGGCACTGAAAAAAAGTTACAGTCACAGTAATTAATAAGACATATTGGGTTGAATGAAACAAATCATTGAATCATAGAATGGCTTGGGTTGGAATGGACCTCAAGGACATCAAGTTCCAACCCCCCTGTCACAGGCAGGGTTGCCAGATGCTAGATCATGTGCTAGATCAGATTGCCAAGGGCCCCATCCAACCTGGCCTTGAACATCTTCAGGGACGAGGCATCCACAGTCTATCTGGGCTATGTGTTCCAGCACCTCACTACTCTCTCAGTAAAAAACTTCTCCTGGACATCTAATCTAAATCTTCCTTTATTTTAAAAGCATTCCTCCTCATCCTGTCACTATCTACCTGTGTAAAAAGTTGATTTCTCTCATGGTTCTAAACTCCCTTGAAATATTGGAATGCCGCAATGAGGTCTCTCTGTAGCATTCTCTTTTCCAGACTGAACAAGCCCAGTTCCTTCAGCCTGCCTTCATAGGAGAGGTGCTTCAGCCCTTGGATCATCTTCGTGGCCCTCCTTTGGACCCTCTCTGAAAGCTCCATGTCTTTCCTGTGTTGGGGGCCCCAGACTTAGACACAGTACTTCAGATGGGTCCTCACAAGGGCAGAATAGAGGGGGTCAAATAGAGTCCCCTCCCTTGCCCTGCTGGCTGCCCCTCTCCTGATGGTACCCAAGATATCATTGGCCTTCCAGTCTGCAGGTGCACACTGCTGGCTCAGGTTAAGTTTTTCATCAACCAGAACCCTAAGTTCTTCTCAGCAAGGCTACTTCCAAGGAATTGTATACATGTCAGTTTGTATACATATCTGGGATTACCTCACCCGAGTGCAGAACCTTGCACTTTGCTTTGTTGAACCTCATTAGTTTCACAAGGGCCCAGCTTTTGACTTTATCAAGGTCCCTCTAGATGGCATCATTTCTTTCTGCTGAATCAATCAATCACTCCACTTAACTTAGTGTCATCAACAAATTTCCTGAAGGTTCACATCTTGAGGTGCATGATGTTCAAGAGTACCAAACTGAAGATAGATCCCTCGGGGATGCCGCTCGTTATCGGCCTCCACCTGGATATAAATAGCCATTGACCACAAGCCTCTGACTGTGACCTTCCAACTGATTTTTATCTGTTTAATAGTCCATCCTTCAAATTCCTCTCTCTCAAATTTAGAGATGAGAATATAGATGACCATGTTAAAGGCCTTGCAGAAGTCCAGGTGGATGACATCAATTGCCTTCCCTTCATCCTTCAGTGCTCTTTTATCTTTGGTGAGCACCAAAGCCCTATTCATTATTTGGATCTCATTTGCTTGAAATGTGACATAAAGTATTAATAGAGTTCAGATGATTTAAATTTATCACTTAAAAATATATTGTAGCTTAAGTCCTTGGTATTTTATCTTCATAGTCAAGACATAGATTGAAAAAAGAAAATGGTCTGATTTCAGGTGTTACTCTGATATTTATAACTTGCTGAGAAAAAACAGGAGTCAGGATCTCAGCAAAGTTGCACTATCCAGAAACAACAGTAGAGGTATTCATTTCAAATTAGTTGTTGGCTAATACCTTTGTTGGGTTTGTTTCTTCTCAGACAAGAAAGTTTCTTGACCAGAATGGACTAGTATCCTTGCACTGAAACTGCAGTTTTTCTGAAGAAAAGAAAATCTTTGATGTTCGTGCATTCACAATAGTTTCATAAGTACACAGAAACATAACTAAACATAATAATGTTGTCTATTAAATAAACTGCTTGAATACTGAAGAAAAATAAGAAGATAATTTATATGTTTCTTCTCCTTTTCACTTTTTAGCACTAGAACAAGTTCATGAAGGACAAGTAATTCAGCATTTTCTTTCATACATGCTTTCATACATGCTTCTTTGTCTTAGTGCCTTTAAAAACAGACTTGCAAAGGCAGAAATAAACAAAGAATGAACAGAAGAAAATCTGAAACAAAAGACAACCAAAACAATATAGGAACTTCCTTCTTCTTTGATAATACTTCGAAAATAATTAATTCACTATTAAGTGACTGTTTAAACATTTCCAACTTTGATTAAATCTCTCCAATTTTAGAAACCAGAGTTACCAAGGAAAGAAAATAGTGAAGAAAAAAAAAAGGAATTTAGTAATGGCGCAATCAGAAGTCTTTTGATGCATACATTTATTGTCTATAACCTCTTGTTATATAGAGAGGAAAGCTAATTAATCAGACTTCTATAATGATATTTTGCTAAAGGGAAGTTGAAAGAAACTGATCACAGATTCTTCCACTATTTGAAGACTCCCTGATGTATTAGCTTCAGTTGTACTTCCTGAAACATTCAAAAAACACACCAGAAATATATGATTAATCTTTGTGGATTCTGCAGGGCATTGCTTCATATGAGCATTTCATTCCAGTGTCATTAATAATGACACCTCTGAGGAACATAATTCTCCAGACTTTCCAAAATGTAAAATAACGCAAATTCTTCCAGCAATCTTCCTGTCATATTTAGATTGATTAAGGAAATACGTCAAGAAGAGATACCAGTTTCACTGCCCCAAGACGGATTTTAAATGAACAGCTCAGGGGGAAGAAACAGTGTAGAAACCTAACATTTGTCAACAACAAGTATTTTCCTCACTGAAGCTGCCTGAATGTAATACTCTCCAAAAATACTGCTTGTATTTATCTCACCTATGAGTTCCATCTTATTCAAAACCACCACTAACAGCATTTTTATTTCCACCTCTTTCACAGACCGTGAGAATCAGTCAATTCTGATCACGTAAGTACCTTCCCTGCTGGAATCTGCGGGGCTGCCCTATGTCTGTGGACTGCTGCCTGACCTCACGCTTTCTGTTACTCTGGTTTCACAGTGGAGAATCCGGTGCAGGAAAGACTGTGAACACGAAACGTGTCATCCAGTACTTTGCAACAATTGCAGCTAGCGGGGAGAAGAAGAAGGAGGAGCAGCCTGGCAAAATGCAGGTAAGTTATGTTAAATAGAACAATTGATCTCTAGTTGTCTTTGCAACTTAGCAATATTAATGAATAATTATCCTGTAGGGAACACTTGAGGATCAAATCATCAGTGCCAACCCGCTGCTGGAGGCCTTTGGAAATGCCAAGACTGTGAGGAATGA